TTGCTGGGAATGTCACCTCCTAGGGCTTTGCCTCCTCTCAGAGCCCTGAAGGCTGTGGTAGGAAGGAGTGGGGCTGACAGAAATCTGGACAAAGGACAAGTGATGGGAGGAAGTGTGGGGGGGTAGGTGGAAAGGTGGGAGGGTTACCAGACATTCTGCCCCTCCTGGCCTCCTGGCAATGAGAGTGAATTGGCCCCTTGGTTCTCTTGCACCCGCACATTGAGGGAACCGATGACCTGGGTCTCTGTCCTGGATTGGGTGGAAGACAGGGTTAGTGGGAATGACTTCTTGGGCCTTTCCACCCCAGGGCTCCAGGCCCGGATCCAGACTTACAACCGGTTCCACAACAACGTGCTCCGGGGCCCAGGGAGCCACCGGCTGCACATCCTCTTCCCGTTGGACTGTGGGGTGCCTGATGACCTAAGTATGGCTGACCCCAACATTCGCTTCCTGAACGAGCTGCCTCAGCAAAGCACTGACCGTGCCGGCATCAAGGGTCGGGTTTACACCAACAGCATCTATGAGCTTCTGGAGAACGGGCAGCAGGTGAGCGTGCAGGCAAGTGGGTACTGCCGGGAGCAATCAGGCCCAGAGACCAGAACTCTGGGCCCTGGCCAAGCACTGATAAAAATTCACTGCCCTTTTCTGAGCCTCAGTTTCTCCAGTTGGTCCCAGGGCTGGGCAAGATTGAGCTCTGATGATAATGATCATTAACGCTTATTGAGTACTTACTGTGTTCTCAGTGCTTCATCTGACCCCCTCATTGAATCCACAGTACCACCCTGTTGGGTAGGGACTGTTATGATCCCTACTTTACAGAAGAGAAAACTGAAACTCAGAGAACCAGCAAGAAAGTGGACTATTTCAACCTGAGTATACCATGTTCTTGACAGTAAAGCTGCCCTAGATGAAGGCTATGAGGATTTTGACATCCATGCGGATGTCTGAAGGATTTCACATGGGCTGGGGGGAACTCAGCCAGGGTTGAACTCCAGAGTCCAGTCCCCAGACTTGACTTCCAGCTGGAGGAGTTGACAGCCTAGCTCAGTGGGCCTAGCTCTGGGAATCTTAGGAGGATCTTGGAAGGGTAAATTGAACACAGCCCTGGCCCTAATTTCAGGAGTTGGGTGTCAGAGACAAAGGCCAACTAGAAAGCACAGACCTCCATCAGGTGGCCACCTCCCAGGACTCCATCTCTACAGACTGAGCAGTGGCACTGGGGTACAGAGCCTATCTGCCTGGTCCCTGGTTGAGTCTGGTCTTCCTCTTACCTCCTCCAGGCAGGCATCTGTATCCTGGAGTATGCCACCCCCTTGCAGACCCTGTTTGCCATGTCACAGCATGGCCAAGCTGGCTTTAGCCGGGAGGATCGTCTTGAGCAGGCCAAACTTTTCTGCCGGACGCTGGAAGACATCCTGGCAGATGCCCCCGCGTCTCAGAACAACTGCCGCCTCATTGTCTACCAGGGTGAGGGGTTGATAGGCTGGAGAAGAGTCAGGGGTCGCAGGGGTCTCCCAGGGGGTCAGAAAGAGATATGGCAGAACCATGCTCTGGGCCTTCCCAAGTGGTCCAGGCATTCAAGCCCTGCCTCTTCTCCCTTTGGGAGAGGGGATACTTGACTGCTTTCTAAGATCTTTGGCTATGTGTCCTGGGTGGAGGGTGAAGAGGTGGGCTCTAGGGGCCCTCACTTTATCTAGGGATCCCAGAAGAAACAGAAGAGCCACAGGCCAGGAGCCAAGAGACCAGGGCTGCAGCTCTGCCACTTCCTTGCTGTGTGACCTCAGGCAGGTCCCTGCCCCTGCCTGAGCATCACCTCTAAAAGCAAGAGGGTGGAATTCTCTTATCTCTAAAATCCCTTCTAGCTCTAGTTTTTCATGAAACTATAGCCCTAATGGCTGGGGGTGGGGAGAAGGTGCAGGGAGGTGGAGGAGAGGGAGGGTTGGAGGATGCCTAGCAAGTTGTCTGGGTGTGTCAGAGGGAGAATGTGTAAGGTTCTCACCCCCCTCGCTTACCTCCCCCATGCTTATTCCAGAACCGGCAGAGGGAAGCAGCTTCTCCCTGTCACAGGAGATTATCCAGCACCTTCGTCAGGAGGAAAGGGAGGTTACCATGGGAAGCGCTGGGACCTCAGTGGTGCCCAGTTTTTCCAGGCTGTCCCAAGAGCCTGAGCTCCTTATCAGTGGCATGGAACAGCCTCTCCCGCTCCGCACAGATGTCTTCTGAGGCCCAGGGTTACCTTGCCTGAGCCCCCAGCCATTCCCAAGACTCTGGTTTAGGGGATTTCTTCAGCAGCTGGAGGCCCAGCAGAGCCATTTCCTCCCACAGGGGGCCTCTCAGAGAAGGTCCCTGGACTTGGCATCTCAAGAAGAATCCTGTGACCTTGGGCAAATTGTTTAACCTCTCTGGGCCTCAATGTCCTCATCTATGAAATGCCTCACCTACCTCACAGGGGTGTTGTGAGGGCTACAGCTATCTGGAAGTTTTCTGTAGGCTCTAAATGCCCAGTAAACAAAAAGGATGTTCCAGGTGTCTTCCATTTAACCCTCAGACCTACTCTCCACTTCTCCCTGCCTCCCTATGGCATCAACAGGCTCCCTGGTCCTCTGGCTTCTGATCATGTTCAATCAGTGGGGAGCCCTAGTTGGGGGAGGGAGGAGAAGAGGAGGATAAGGGTATTTATGCCCCTAGCTCCCTCCCTGCGGTATCAAGGTCACTGTGAGCTCTGCATCTCTAGACCTAAAGTTACAGCTCGAGAACCATTTCAGTAGCCCTGTTTATCTCCAGGTCTCATTAAGTGCCTCCTCCCCATGCCCCTTCAGGCCCAGCAGTGGTACTGGCCCCTCACTGATACTCATCCTGGAGCACTTGCTCTCCCTAGTGGTTTCCTTACACCTGCCCTTTCTAAGCAGTCTCTTTTTAAACACTCCTCAGATTACTTACAGAAGTATGTCATCTTTTTCTGGTCAGACTCTGACTGAAACAAGCAATTGGCCTTTATTATCTGCAATGTCCAAATCTGCTTGCACAGACATACTTCCTTATACCCCCCCTCATCCTAGTACAAGGTGGTGGGGTGGTGGCTAGCAATTCATTATAGACGGAGTCAACCAGTGGACTGAGGGCATAGAGTTGGGCAGCAACCCTCACTCCACTGCCCTTTTAGTGCCCTTGTCTCCAGTGGGAGGCTTGGGAGACTGGGGGGGTGGTGCTGAGCCAGCACACAAATGCCATGAGGGGTACACAGTTATGTCCTGGACAAGGGGCTGCTCAAAGAAGCAGGCCACTGAATAAATGATCCCGGATGAGAGTCCCTGGATAAGCAGAGGATGAGAGTTTGTGTGAGGTGATGGGATACACCCTGGGGACCTTGGATAACACAGCCAGCCACCTGCCATATACCTTATGCCATCACTGTCAGAACTGGGCCACTGCAACAACACTGTGGTGGCAAAGTTGCCCCCATCTGGGAGGCCAGACAGCCCATTTCTGCCAGTTCCATTAATTCCACCCAGGACTTATTTCCTCCCTCCAACTTTTGTTTTTGTCACAAATGCTCAGTATGAATTTCTGAGTGCATTACTGTGGAGAAAGACTCCATACCCAGACACACATTTGCCAGAAGGAACCCACTGCCCCTAAGGATGACAGAGACATGGGGTCCCCTCCCCCGCTACGCCAGCAATTCTGCCCCTAAGGCCTGAGGATCCTCCAACATCACACCCAGAAACCAGCCCAGAATCAAGGGTCTCCCCAACATGACCTTCCCCCATCCTTCCAGCACCCAAATTGGTACCCAGACTGTGAGGTCTGACAGCCTCAGGTTCAAATTCTGACTACACCATTTAGTACCTGTGTCCTCCTGGGTGTCTTGATATCCCCAGTCATAAAATAGAGATAGCAGTGGCTCCTCCTCCCAAGATTGTTACGAGGAGTGAACGGTATAGTATCTGTTTGTCCAGGATGAGCCTGGAGCCCAGCATATAGCAGGCCCATAAGAAGGAGCAGCTATTAGCATTATAGCTTCCTCTTACCAGTCCCAAAGGAGGCAAGCCAGTCCTCTGCACACATTACAATCCTCATCTCTGTTCCTCTCCATCTTCTGTTATTTCCCAGCCTCCTTGACTGTGCTGAGGTCTCACCGAGGGCAATCCCCAGGGTTGACTTGTTGCCCTCAGGTGTTTCCCAGTGTAAAGCACCCAGAAGTCCCTCCATAAATGTCTGTCTGTATGTTCTTGGCTTCACATAAGTGAGGTTCAAAGATGTCAGGGAAATGGGTACTTTTCCAGAGAGTCACTGGGAGGCTCAGCTCTGCCTTCCTGGCCTCCTGCACCTTCCCAACCTTCATGTCCCTCCCTTTGCAGGTGCTCTCTCCAATCCTTCCTTTCTCAACACAGGCCCCATGGAGCTCCTTTTCCTTTTCTGTTTTCCCACCAGCTAGAAGGTTCTGGATCTGGGAAGTGCCCTGGGGTAAATTCTGGGCTGGTTACAGCAGACTGATGCACATGGAAAATGGGAAGTAATGAGAGCCCCTCAATTACCCCCATCCCATCCTGGGAAGGCAAGACAGAGTCTTGCCCCAAGATAGTGGGGACCATTCAAAAACAATTTGGAGAGATATAATTAGTGCTTGAGGCTTTTAAGAGCTTTGGAAATAATTGGCAAAGCCTGAGCCCTGGAAGCCAACGGAATGTCGCCCAGTTGATGAAGGGCAACAGATTTTCCTTCCTTTCCTGAGTCCCAGAGAAGGCAGACCCCTGGGTTCTTTGCCTTGGTTCTCCATGGTGTTCTACTGGCAGCCTCTGACATCCCTGCATAGGGGCAGGGTGGGTAGTGGAATCTTCCAAGCTGGACTCACTTTTACACCAAAACGGGAGGAGCTTAGGGGTGGAGGAGGGAGTAGGAACTCAGAGAAAGAGGTTTGGGGGTCTGGTGATCCCTAAAGAGGAGGAATTAGCTTTGTAAGGGTAGCCTTGGGCGCTGGGAATGCCCAGAACAGCATGTTTCTGGTCAGGGCCTCAAGCCTCTTTTATTTCTCCTGTCCACATCAGGGGTTTCTCTATAAATATTCTGTTGAAAGTGAAGCTCCAGCTGGGTCTGTGTGCGCCCTTCTGAAGCTCCGATGCCTAGGTCCCAATTTGCTTTTGCCCTAATTCTCTGTCCAGTTTCTCATTCTGAGCCAGGTCAGGCCAACTTTCCAAAGTCTCCCTACTAAAGAAACGTGACTTCATCGATGCTGAATCTAGGCCCATCTGGCACAGGGCAGGAGCCAGAGACAGGAGGTCCCCCTTGGGTGCCTTCGTGACTGTCCTGGGAGCCCAGCACTCGCCAGTGGGTGAGGTAGATGCCGCCTTCTGGCTTTGGGGATGGGGGTTCCGTGGGGAGAGTGGCATGGCCCTTGTGTAGCATTGGTCCAAAGTGGACTACCACGATGATGCAGACTGCCAGCAGGACAAAGACGGCGACAATGACGGTGAGCAGGGGCAGCCCGACTCCTTGCGGTGGTTCCCAAGCCCCCTCCAGCACCTCCGGAAGCTGCCTGTGGGGCTCCTGCCCCACTGAGCTGTTCACAGCCGGAGAAAGCCAGGGATGGTGGCCAGCCTGGGAGAGAAGTGACAGAGGGAGAGGGTGACATGGGCATGTGCACACAGAGAAAGACCAAAATAGAGAGAGACAGACACGCAAAGGGAACCGAGAGAGAGACAGAGAGCCTCAGGGAGAGAGAGAAAGAGGAACAAAGACCAAGAAGTAGAGAGAGAGTAAAGATACACGCAGAGAGAATAGAGAGACAGAGAAATACAGAGGTAAACACACATACCAATAGAGAGAATAAAAGAAAAAGACAGAGAGGGGTACAGAGAGAAAGAGAAAGATACAAAGAGAAAGAGAGAGGAAAACAGACAGAAGAGAAAACAGATATAGAGGGACAAAGACCGAGGAAACAAACAGAAAGGGAGACAAAGTCATTCAGAAAAGGACAAAGAGGGGCTTCATTACAGTCTGGCATATAAAGTTTGCCCTTCCCACAAGTCCCCTCCCATTGCTCTCTCTTCCCAGGTCTCCAGCAAAATTCTTAAATAGATCCTACGCCCTGAGTTAAGAATGTTAGCACACTGTGGGTGCTGTCCCACATCCTGGCCAGGGTGCAGTGAGTAGTTGTTCCTTAAAGTCCTGGAAAAGGGAGTCATTGTGTTCTGCATCTTAGGTTCCCACTACTCTTTACACACATGGTAGGAGGAGGGGTGGTACTCTGAGGGGAGGAAGAGAGGAAGAGGAGGCATGAACCCAGAGGCTTGGGGGTAAGGCAAGAGCTATGCTTCACCCCATAACCTCTCCCTCAGGATAAGGTTCAGGGTTCTGGAGGGGAGGGAGTGCCAGTGTGGATTCCTGGCTCTGTCCAGGAAGGACTGAGGAGAGATGCCAGCCTCTACCTCTTTCAGGCTCCCAGCGTTCTTCTGTCAAAAGCTGAGGGTCATGATCCCTGCTTCTGTCCGTCTCTACCCGGCTAAGTATCGAGTGGGGGTTGGGGGGATGGCCATTAAGGTAGCAAAACCTCCAAACTGTAAGCCCTAGAGCTGGTGAGATCGTCACAGGCTTAAGAAACTATCTCCCTAGTCTTCCCTTTCCCAGCTGGCCTTGAGGAGCAGACCCTTGGGGTGGAGCCCCTCCCCTACCCCGAGCCCTCAGCCTGGCTATCCCATGGGTAGGCAACTGGGGTCCAGGAAAGGCTGGCCAGGTCAAACTCACTCCCTTTAATTCCCGAGTCACACTGTCCACCCCATCTCATCCCCAACACCTGTCCCCTTGGCACGTGGAAAGCCTAATACCCATCTCCCCACCCCTGCTTGAAAAGTCTGAGGCTCTCTGGGGCCCAGGCCACAGAGCTCCCAGGGCAGGGGGTGGGGAAGCTGCTCCGGATGTATAGAGGAAAAGGGAAGCATAGGCTGGTGAAAGGCTTGGGGCCTCTGTGGGGAGTCACACCAGCCTGGCAGGAGAGGGTGAGCCGAGAGTCTACCTGGTGCATTGTCCAGCCTGGCAGCAGGGTCCCTGGGGACTGGTGGCCAGCGGGCAAAGGAGAGCCTACCACCCCAGCTCGGTCCCTACCCGGAGCTGCCACGTCTATGGGGTTTACAGGGCACACACCCTCTGCACACACACCCTCACTGCTCTCTCCCGTGCTTTCACTTCCGTGAACATCTGGACTACCCTGGGCCCAGCCCTTAACTCTGATAGTGCTTTGATCTGACTCCTCGGCACCTCCTTTCACAGCCCTGCCAGCCTTTCCCTCCTCCACCAGATCCCAGACACGTGGCCAGCGCCCTCCCCCAGCCCTCCCCCACCACTCCCCCCACCAGAACTTGCTGGCTCTCCATCCCAACTGATTTCCTGAAGTTATGCTTCGATTTTTTTAAATGCAATTTATCAAACACACTGAAAAGTGTAGACTATAATATACTAAATCTCTCTGGCCCAACCACCAGCTCTGTTCATCTCAATAATTTGTCACATTTATTTCAAAAAATTTTAAGAACTGAAACATTACAAATAAAACAAAACCCACACTCCATGACCTCTCCTTTCCTTCTCACCTTAGGGATAAACATCGTGTTGAATTTTATGTTTATCATTCCTATTCAAGGCATTCTTTTCTCTCTGGTTTTTCCTCCTTTGGTTTTTTACAAATATAATTCTGTTATGTCTCTGCATTTGTGTGCAACTTCATTTGAGAATGTGTGCTTTAATGTACACAAGTCACAAAAAGTGCCCACCAGTCCCTCCTCTCTCTAGAGACAGATTATAAAGGATAATTTTTGGTCCCAACTAACTCCATGGGACCAGCCACCCCTCATTCTGTCCCTTGCTGTGCATGCACCACCCTCTATTCCTGTCTGGAGGCCAGGAGACCCCTCCCAGGAACTCCCCTTACCCAGTGATTTGATCCAAGGAGGCAAGATATAGACCCCTGATTCTTTGTCTCTCAGCCAAGCTGCTACTCACTCTGACATTTAGGGACCCCACTCAGACTTCCAAGCTCACTTAATCCCTGGTCACCGGGCGGCTGATCTGACCTGCAGAGTGAGTAAGATCAGTGGCTGGCTGGCCTTGAAGCCAGCTAGGAGGCTGTCCTTCTCCTAATGTAATCAAAGGCTCTGGTCGTTCTCTACCTCCCACCTTGGTCCACTGAGACCTCAGCCAGAGGGAGTCTGGATTCTGCCACAGTCAGAGCTTCAGTCACTGCTGCTTGCCTTCTGCCTCCACAAGCCATGTGTCCTATTGCTGTCACAGGCACCACCACTGGGGTTCCAGTCCCTGGGTCCAAAAGCCCAATTTCTGATCCTTCTGATGGATAATTCTTCCCTTTTCTTCCCTCATGAATCCTGCATCTATGTCCTAAAGGACTTCTGAAAGGATAAAGGGTGGAAACTTCTGGGACCAGACTGTTGTCCCAGCCTTCTCCCATTTTTCCATCTTCACCTTCACTGTCACGAGGTGCCCTTCCCCTATTCCCACCATCTGACCCTTAACCATCTTTTAACAGCTTAGTTCAAGCATCACCTCCTCCAGCAATATATTCTTCAGCCCACTATACTTAAGTAGCTTGCTTTCTTTTCATTAAACCCTATAGCAGTAGTGTTTACCACACTCCTGACATTTGTCATGCTTTGTCTAATGTTACAAGTGTGGGGGCTCATTTTTCTTCCTCGTCTATGAACCCCATCAAGGCATACTTTTCTGTGTTCCAGAGTATCACAGTGCCTGGTACTATGCAGCAGGTGGGAACAAACATTGGCTGAATAGAACTGGAACCTAAGAATCTCCCACCCTAGTTCTTAGATCTGCAAACTTGTAAGCAAGTATCCTTCACCTGTGGTGAAGGCACTTCTGAACCATGATGAGTGTTCACTGACTCCTTCTGTCTCTTTTTTGGCTTTTTGTTGTCATGGAGCATCTTAGATGTGTTCAAGGGACTAAAATTAGCAAATATCTTCTCTTATTTCACAGAGAAGAAAACCCCTGGCTTTTGAGGTTTTAATATGGGAAACAAAGATGAAAAGACTCTGGGGTCCTCCCTACCATTACCCCTCCAGGCTGAAGGCCCCGACTCAATTCTCTACTCTGGGTTACTTCTCTTTTCCAGCTGTCCAGGAGAAGTGGAAGTGGCCCTGTTGGTCTAATGAAGGCAAGGAGTGCCCTTCTTCGGATGTTCTGTCCCCACTGAAGGAAGCCTGCAGAGGGAGCTGAAGGAGAGGGTTGGTGTGGACATTCTGCGCAGGCTAGTGGAAGGTTGCCACATCAGGGAAGGTCTGATAGCTGGTGACTTTTGGGGCTCATCTTAAGCTCTGGATCACTGGAGGTAAGCCAAGTGCAAGGGCTACCCATCTCAACCAGACCCTACTTCCAGTCTTCTTACGAAAAGCTATAGGTTTGTAAGGGGTGAAGTATTTCTTTGTTGGGTACTGAGAATGTTCTAAAGTTGATTGTGGTGATGGTTACACAAGTCTGAATATACTAAAAGTCACTGAATTGTACACTTTACATGGGCAAATTGTATAGTATGTGTTTTAGTGTATTTGAGCTGCTATGCCAAAATACCATAAACTGAGTGGTTTATAAACAACAGAGATTTATTTTTCACAGTTCTGGAGATTGGGAAGTCCAAGACAAGCAGATGTGGTGTCTGGCAAGAGCCTACTTCTTGTTCACAGATGGTGCTTTCTCACTATCCTCACATGGTGAAAGGGGCAAGCTGGGGGTCTCTTTTATAAAAGGGCACTAACCCAATCATGAAGACTCTATCCTTGTGACCCAATTCTCTCCCAAAGGCCCTATCTCCTAGTATCATTAACTTGGGAGTTAGGATTTCAACATACTATTATTTTTTTTGATGTATAGTTGACTTACAATGTCATGTTAGTTTATGGTGTACAGCATAGTGATTCAGCTATACATATATATATTCTTTTTCATACTCTTTTCCATTATGTGTAATGTGTATCTGCTAATCCCAAACTCCTAATTATCCCTCCCCCACCCCCTTCCCCTTCAGTAACCACAGTTTGTTTTCTGTTTGTGAGTCTTCGATACATAAATTTTGAGGGAACACAAACCTTTAGCCTAGAGCAATATGTTAATTATATCTCAATAAAACTGTTAAAAAACAATGAAAAAGTACACACCTATTGGAATGGCTCAAACAAAAATAACAACATCACTGTGATAGGTCTGTAGCTGCTTATGACAGTATCAGTCATAAAAGGAAACACGAGAGTAGCCTAAATGTCAAAAACAGGGAGATGATTAAATTGATCACAGATAGTAAATACATTGCTGTTAAAAAACGATCACTGTGAAGACTGAGAGCCAGCAGAAAATGCTTATGATTTGAAAATAAGGGGAAATTTTCCTCTTTCTTTCCCTTACTTCTGGCATAATTCAGTCCTAAAGGTGAGGCAGAACAAGGTTGGCAATGTGCCTATGGAGTAGGGGCACAGTAGCCCAGAGCAGGATGTCAGGGCCCACAAGGGGTGAGGAAGGCATCAATATGGTGTGGGAAGGGCCCATCGTGGAAGGTCTGAGCCTGAGTGTGGGGTGGAAGGCATAAGTGAGGTGAAGGTGGTGGCAGACACAGGAGCTTGACTACAAAGAGAGTGATCCAGTAGGGATAATGGAAACCAGATTTCAGAGAAGGGCCTTGGAGAAGCTACCTCCTAGTAGCAATGAGCACATGCACTACCTGGATCTTGTTTCTAAATACCATTTACCACTAAAAGGAACTAGAGCTCCTTGGAGAAATAGCTTCCAGGGCTAGGGCAGATAAAACACAAGATGAACTTGGAACACCTCATCATCCCAGAAAGTAAGGAAGTGCTCAAAGAATGATAGAGACATGTTGAAAGGATACAGAAGTCAGCTTGAAAGGGCTCCTGGTGACCAAAAAGGGGACAATTTGAGCATCAAAATAATAAATGATGATTTTAATGTGTAATATTCACACAGTTTCAAAGTATCTCCCCACAAAATACTTATTAATTACAAAGGGGAAAAGACTAGCTCTAAAAATGGAGAAAGCTGGCTATAATCATGAATGGTGGCCTCCAAAAAGGTATGTCCATATTTTAATCCCCAGAACCTGTGAATGTTAGCTTACTTGGAAAAAAAGGCTTTGCAGGTATAACTAAGCTAAGGATCTTAGGATGAGGATGTCATCCTGGATTATCCCGATGGGCACTAGATTCAATGACAAGTGTCCTTGGAAAAGACGCACAGAGGAGAAGGCAATTTGAAGGCAGAGACAGATTTGAAGTGATGCAGCTACAAATCAAAGAATGCTAAGGAATGCCCAACAACCACCAGAAGATGGAGGAGGCAAGGAATGGTTTCTATCCTAGAGGGAGTATGGGTTTGCTAAACCTTGACTTTGACTTCTGGTCTCCAGAACTGTGAGAGAAAGAATTGCTGTTGTTTTAAGTCAATAGCTTACGGTAATTTGTTATGCAGCCACAGGAAACTAATATACTGGTAGGCAACACTTTAAGGAAGTGATCAAGTGAATACCTTGGTAATAGAACAAATCAAAATTATACACTATGTATCTGGAGGGGACTCTAATTCAAAAAGGCACATGCACCACAATGTTCATAGCAGCACTATTTACAATAGCAAAGACATGAAAATAACCTAAATGTCCATTGACAGATGACTGGATAAAGAAGTTGTGGTACATTTATACAATGGAATTACATGGTCATAAAAAAGAATAAAATAATGCCATTTGCAGCAACATGGATGGACCTGGAGATCATCATTCCAAGTGAAGTAAGCCAGAAAGAGAAAGAAAAATTCCATATGTTATCACTTATATGTAGAATCTAAAAAAATTGACACAAATGAACTTATTTACAAAACAGAAACAGACTCATAGACATAGAAGACAAACTTCTGGTTACCAGTGGGGGAAGAGGATGGGAAGGGATAAACTGGAAGTTGGAGATTTACAGATACTAACTAACAAATATAAAATAGATAAACAACAAGTTTCTACTGTATCGCACAGGGAACTAGATTCAGTATCTTGTAGTAACCTATATTGGAAAAGAATATGAAAAGGAATATATGTATGTATATGCATAACTGAAACATTATGCTGTACACCAGAAGTTGACACAACATTGTAAAGTGACTGTATTTCAATAAAAAATAAATTAATTAAAAAAATGTTTAATGGAAAAAAAATTGTGTACCAGTTGATAGGATGCAAAGAGAGGGACACAACACTGCTTCTGTGACATTCCCACCAAAGATGCATGAGCTAAATCTAA